AAAAGACGCAGAGAATGACGGCACCGGTGGAAGAAAAAACCATTGAAAAACAGCCCTCTCTTCATCTCTACCTTCTCATTCTCTTTAAAATGATTATATAAGAAAAAATATCAAATAAATAGTATACACCTATGATATGATATTAGAGTATTTAAATTCGTTTTGTTGTTGTAGTTTTTTCGAAAATAATATCCCCAAATGACAATCATACATGAGTATATTTGAATACAGCACGACGGCCGTCAAAAAAGAAAAAGGCAAGAAAGAGTAAAGAACAAAGAAAACCAGAGACATGAAAGATGTTAGAAGATTGGCTTATGAAAATTAAGAGGCTTTCAATGAAAATACAATGGCACATATTGTGTTTTTTGTTTTCTTTGTAAGTAATAACACAATAACAAACAATGACACTAATAATAATAGAGAGTTTATAGGGTGATTTAGGGTTTTGGAGTAATTAAGAAAATAAAATATTGAAACTTTAGAAAGAAGAAAATACATGTTACAAGTTGTTTGGGAGTATTATGAGAAAATATATATATATATATATTAAGCGTTAATGTGTATTATCTTTATTAATAAAATTTATATTAGAGGTATAATAAAAATTAAAATTTTTAAAAAATTTTTATTTAGCGTATTAAATTATTATTTAGTTGCAAATAAATTCACTCATGATCTTGTATATCACCACACTCTCCTAGATCCAAAAATCTGGGTAGGCCACCAATGCCCAATCTTATGCCAAGAATGGTTCCGATTGACTGAGGCCTTAAGGATACCTGTTCCGAACCGCCGTAATGCATTTGTTTTATCCGTTTGCGACTCCAAAAAATTTTGTAGGCGATGGTCACTTCACAATTTAAATTTTTTATAAGAAAAAAATTAGATTTATAAAAACTTCATTCTATTTGGTTTGAGTTCTTAAAGGTAATTTGAGTTTTTAATTTAATATTTTTGTTCTTTCTGAAGTTTTTTTATATTATTTTAATCAATTTTTTTATTTTTATTTTTTAAATACACATAAGTTAGATGTACCTAAAAAAATTATCAAAAAATCTATTAAAAAAATCATGAGACAACAAAGAAATTGAAAATATATTGAATTTTGCATTTTTTTTATATTCGGGTGATTTTTTAAAGATTTTTCATAAATATTTTAATTTAAATGTATTTAAATTAAGAGAATTCAAAAAAAAATCAAATTAACTATTTTAAAAACTATTAACTAGGTATTTAGGTGCGTTTGGTAGAGTTTTGTAAATATAATTTGAGAGGTATGAGTTGTATTTTTGAGTTGTTGAGTTGGGGGAATTATGATTTAAGTATAGAAAAATTTGTTTGGTTTGCTGATTTAATAGAGTGTGAACTATTTGGGATTGAGTTTTTTGAAAGTTTGATGTTTACATGTGAATAAGAAAAGCATTTATTTGGTAATAAGTTTCAAAATAATTTTCAAAGCTTAATTCAACTTATTAATTGATAATTCAAACACAACAAACTCATAACTCAATACGTATTTTGATCAACAATCATAACCAAAAACTATTTTTAAAATACTTCAAATAAAAAAAGTGATTTTTTTTTTCAATTAATTGTTTTTAAGTAATTTTTTGAATAATTTTTTTTTCATAATTATTTTTTTTCAAATAACTTCTATGTCAATTATTTTTATATCAATTAATTTCTGTCAATTCATTTTTAGGCCTGTAGTAAACATTAAAAATATTTAAAATATTAAAAATATTTAGAAAATTAAAATTAAAATATTTCGAAGAAATAAAATATTAAAATATTCAAAATTAATTGTTTTTAAGTAGTTTTTTTGAATATTTTTTTTTCAAATAATTTTTTTTTCAAATAACTTCTATGTCAATTATTTTATGTAATTAATTTTTTTATCAATTCATTTTTAGGCCTGTATAACATTAAAAATATTAAAATATTTAGAATATTAAAATTAAATTTAGAAAATTAAAATTTATATGAAATAATATTAAAATATTGAAAATATATGAATATTAAAAATATTCTGAAAATTAAAATATTAAAATATTCCAAAATCAAAATATTTACAATTAAAATATCAAAATATTAAAATTAAAATATTAAAATATTTTTATGAAAATTAAATATTAAAAATATTCCTACAAAATAAAATAAAATATTTAAAATAAAAAAATAAAAAATATTTAAAATAAAAATTAAGTTGTTTTTGAGTTTTGAAAATAGTGTTTGGTTATGAGTTTTAAAAGTAATTTTATAATTTGAAATAAGTTTTGAGAAATAAGTGTGAATTATGATTTGAAAGTTGCAACCAAATACACACTCAAATAGTGGTGAAATTATGTTTTGAAATCTAAAACAAAGAGAGCCTTAGGCTCCGTTTGGTTAGGGTCTCAAATTATAATTTCACTCATTGATTTGGAGTGATTGTTTGTTTTGAATTTTAAATATAATTTACACTCATTTCTCAAAACTCAATTCAAAACATAATCATTATTTTTCAAAACTCTAACAAACACATAATTCAAAACTCTTTTTAAAACTCAATTCAAATCATATTTTATTTTATATTTTTTAAATATTTTAAATATTTTAATTTTGTTAAGGTTTTAAATATTTTAATATTTAAATATGTTACGATTTTTTAATTTTTAATTTTTTGAATAATTTTAAATATTTTAATTTCAAAATATTACGATTTTAATTTTTAAATTTTAAAATATTTTATAAAAATAAATTCAAACTCTATTTTATAAAAATACTTTTAAATATTTAATTTTTTGTTATGTATTTAGTTACGATTTGAGTGTAGAGTTGTGAAAGTAGTATGGATTTCGAGTTATGTGTTGGTTATGAGTTTTAAAATAATTTTTTAAATGAGTTTTGTTTCTATGTATTTGGTGTTTACAATTTGAGTGTAGAGTTTTTTTAAATTTAAAATATTAACATTTTAAATTATTTCAACTTGTTGAATATTTAAATTTTTACGATTTAGATTTTTTCAATATTTATTTTAATTTTTTACTTATTAACTTTTTTAGATTATTTAAATTATTTAAATATTTATGATTTAATTTTTTTGAATATTTATTTTGAAAAAAAAATTATTTCCTTTGAAGTATTTTCAATTAAAAATTGATTAATGTTATTTTCTGTTAATAATAAATTTTTTTAATTGAATTTTAAAAAGAGTTTGGTTATGAGTGTTGATCAGAATTTTCAATAGTGTGAAAGTAGTGTGTTTTGTTATGAATTATAACAATTTGACTTAAGTTTTAAAAACTCTTTCCAAAACTCATAACCAAACAAATTTTCTTATTTTACATGTCAAATCAAACTTTCAAACTCAATTTCACACTCAATTTAAAATTTAATTCAACGCTCTCTTGAAAAATCATAACCAAATAAATTTTCTACATTCAAATCATAATTTCACAACTCACAAACTCAAAATACAACTCATACTCTCAAATCATATTTACAAAACTCTACCAAACGTAACCTTAAACTTTTCAAATAGTAAGTGTCTAATAAATGAGAATCCTTATTTAATGGAATCCTTTAATTTTTTTAATAAAATAAAATGTTAATAATATAAATAAATAAATAAATTCAAGAATTTTTTATAGCTTGACCGTGTGGGATCGTCACAGCTCAAGTAGTGTCGGCCGTGTGGGTTTCCCCCGGAAGAAACAAATCGAAGGAACGTTCTGAGTTCTTAAGAAAGACTTGTCCATTGACTTTCTTCCCCTCAACTACCACAGTCGTACCGTACAACATCAGCAGGGCACTTTCGTAATTAACAAAGTACAACATGACTAGAATCATATTCACTTTCCTCTTTCTCAGATGTATAAAGTCTTGATTTGTTTGATCTCATCTCATCACATTATTACAAACCCAAGAAATTCTGAGAAGAGAAAGTTGGGTCGGAAAGAGATCCAATTGTAGATGGGTATTGTGAGTTTTCTCAAGTTGGGTTTGAAGTGCTTCTTCGATTTTCTTGCTTGGTATGAATCGTTTGTTTTCTCTGGCCACACTAAGAAAGTGAAAGAAATTTTTTACATTATTTAGTTACTTTATCTTTACTCTGTTTTTGATTTTCTGTTCGAATGTCCAACTTTCGCGTTAGATATACTAGCCGATCTTTGTGAAGTTGATTTTCAGCTTTATCTCTATCTTTTGTTCCAACCTCATTTGTATATACATATGTATGTGTATGTGTGTGTGTGTATATATATATGTACGTACGTACGTATGCATGTAGATATATATATATATATATAATCTTACTTATTCTTGTATTTTCCTTGCAGGCCTCTCTTTGCTCTGGTCTGTCCTCTGTAAGCTCTCTCTCTCTCTCTAGTTTTTGATGACCAAAGAATAAAGTTGTTAACTTTGTATGCTAATGCCATTCAGAAATTTATATAAAATTCAGGGCATTCATAACTAAAAATTTTAGAGTCAATAATTAAAAAAACAAAAACACAAATGGACATAACCAAACACCATAACAAATAACTAAAATAATAATCACAATACTTCATCACATAATCAAATATAATCAAAATCACAAAAGTCATAATTGGGCATAATGTATACACCCTTTTTTTTATTTATTATTTGATAAAAATAATGAGATTTGGTGAAAAATAACTGATTGGTTATAAATTTTCAAAATACCGATATTGTCCGTTAAACTAAAAAGGAATAAAAAATTTCACCTATATTTCTCACATGCTTACTTATATGTCTCGCATGCTTGTTTTTAACTTATCCAAACAAGACAGTGAGAATTTTTTTTTTTTCTGACCTGTTATAATCCTTGTTTTAATAGATTTTGCTTTGTTATATTTGTTGATCTGTTTGACAGATATGCCTCAGTTTGGGCAATTGAGAGTAATTCCAACTCAGACATGCGAAATTTGGTGGCATATTGGATTGTTTTCTCTTTGATTTCTCTCTTTGAGCTTGCTTTTGTGAAACTCATTGAATGGTAATTAATTATGCCACTATACTCTAGTTACATACCTCATTTTTCTTTCCTTATTTGCTTGAAAAATGATAATTGTGAATTTCAAAGTTTTCTTCACCTCCTACGTTCAAACATTGAACGAAAATTATAATTTAATCCCAGACAAATGAAGAGTTTCTACGGTGAAAAAAGTCATATATAGAACATGCCTAGTAGTCTGCCCTTAGAGGGCACGGGATCTGTACCCCTAAATCCCTGGCATGGTGTCCCTAGTCCCCGATACACTTCCAATCATTCCTCAAGATTTTTGTGTTTTGAGATTTTCAACTTAAATCCCAGCCATGGTGTCCCCTGTCCACTATACACTTCCAGCCACACAATCATATCTCAAGATTCCTATAGTTCAAGGATCCTTGGCCTATATTTGTTTATCCGTTGTTGTGTGCTCTTAAATGGAAATAAGTTTACCTGTATTTTGCATCTTTTTTCTAGAATTGTTCGATTTATGTAACCAGATTTCATTATTAAGAGGGTAGATTGTGCTTTCTAATTTCCTTCTTTGTGCATGTCAGGCTTCCATTCTGGCCTTACATGAAGCTAATGGCCATTTGTTGGTTGGGGATTCCCAATTTTAATGGTGCTTTTTATGTTTATGAGTGCCTGATTCGGTCATGCTTATCTGTGAATCTACAAGGAGTTATCAAACGCTTCGTTAAGCACAAGGATGACCTACCTCTCAATGCAGAAAGCTTTCTAGCTGTGGCAGAGAGGTACGTCAAAGAGAACGGATCAGAAGAGTTGGAGAAACTCATTGATAGATCAAGGCATATGAAACCTAACTTTGACGAGGAAGAGATAAAGGTAGTAACGAATACAGAGGAAAAAGAAACAGCCACAGCAATCCAGGTAAAGTTTCTTATGCTGCTCTTAAAAACTATGAATTTTTTATGTTTCTGTTGTTAAATTTCAGTGGGTTGCTACTAGGGGTAATATCCAATGTTGCGTGGACTCTTCTATTCCCATATAGTGTACCTCTATCTATAGGATATGACAAGGGGAGGGGACATCCCCATATCCAAACTATATGCTCGAATTATCTAATTTTAACAATATTTGAAGTAAAAGAAGCTCACAATTTATAGTAACGAAAATTCCTAGCCTCTTATTAACGGGAGATAGAAACCCTTCTCCCTTCCCTAAATTTCAATTACATTACACTCCAAAATATCTTATGCCAGGATATAATACACAATACATTCAAAAATATCTTATATCAGGATATAATACAATATACAATATATTTTAATGTGTAGGGCATATCCATGTACTCATTGAATTTTGGATACACATCTCAAAAATCTAAGATTGTGGATTTAGGGAGTTTTGACATTTGAATACATACACACATCTGATGGGCATGATTGAGTTTAACAAAGAATTTGTTTGTGCAACAATGGTTGAAGTGTTAGAACATGATTTTATATGAACCATCTTTTGTGTTAGACATTCAAAGAGCCTAATGTTGCCAAGGAGGATGCTAAAGCAGTGGATCCAAAGGAGAAAATTCTGTCAGATTCAACACAATGGGTAAGGTTTCCTGTGTTATGTTCTATCATATTTTATATTTTTATTTAAAGACAACCACTGATGAACCATGTCTTTTTCTTTTCCAGTCCAAACTCGAAGAGTCTTATGTTGCTAACGAGAATGCCAAAGCAGGGGAACTAAACGAGAAAAATCCCGCAGCTGCAACAGAACAGGTAATGTCTCCTATTGTATTTTTCATTATATTTCGGTACCTCATGTGCTGCAATTTTCCGTTCACTTTTTCGTTCATACGTTCAACCCATTTCTCTTACTGTTGCATTTTTGGTGGTTTAGTTGTACTGCTATATTAATGTGCACCATCTTTCTAATGTATTCATCATGGTTGTTAGAATCGTGTTATTCACGATTCGATTCATATGATTCAATATGAGTTTCAACCAAAATGGTTCAAATTGTGTTGTTGAAGACTGAATCATGCAATTCAATTTTCGATTTCCTATGGTTCACTGCGATTCAGTTCTGTTTTTTGGTTTTGTTGCAGGAATACTTGGTAATCAGCCTCTGGTAATTACTTATTGCAGGTTAATTGTGTAGAGCCAAATCTTATTCAAACTGAAAAGAAAACAGTTGCAACTAGCGAAATCATAGAAAAGACGGTGACACAAGACGTAAGAGAGAACAAAGCCGTGGAGGTACCTGCAGCGGCAATTGGCGGTGGAGAGAACAAAGTCACAGAGATACCTGCTTCAGAGAATGTTCAGAGAGAGTGGACAGCATGTCAGTTGACAACTATGTGCGAGAAAAACTTTCAGTCTCTTCTTCAAGGGAGAAAACACAAGGCCCAGTTTGCAGCAGAGGAAAAAGAAATCCAGGTAAAGTTTCTTAATGCTTCTCCTAGAATCCGTGATTTTTATCTGTTTCTGTTGTGAAATTTCAGTGGGTTACCACTCTGTTGGTCTTGCTTAGATTGAGGGGAAAGTCCCACTACTCTATTGGGGTTAGAATTTGGAAAGAGGAAAAATTCATCGTTGTTTTTAGGGTAAATTACACTGACCTCCCCCGAGATTTGGAAAAAATACAAGAAGCCTCACAGTTTTGGCATAATTACACTAACCTCCCTTTTATTAAGACTAAAGGCACCAAAACTAATGCAGATGGTGTGAAGACACAAAAATAAATAAGCAAAAATACACATTTCAATGTAAAAGATATAACATCATCATTTTTTATTCACATCACTAACAAATTATTAATAAAAATGGGGCTAAGTGTTATGTGAATCAAAACCTTAAGGAACCCCATGTAATTATGCTAATGTTGTGGGACTTACTGTATTTTCTCCAAACCTTGGGGGAAATCAGTGTAGTTTACCCTTGTTTTTATACATCAAATTTGGCTTAGATAGAGGACAAAGGCAAACTCCTTCAGTGGGTTAAAATTTGGAAACTTACATTTGAAGTGTTTTCTCATCTCATCTTTTCTTAAGTGGAAATCCATGTGGGAGTGAATTTAATCCTTGTCGGCAGCACTATATAATACACTAATGTGCTTGAACTAGAAGTTTTTTTTTTTTTGGTCTTTTTAATGTCTTACCCCCATTTGAAATTGGTTATAAACTGTAAAAAATAAATTGATGTATATTATTGATTGATGTATTGATGTATTACAAGATTGATTAATTACAATTCCTATACAATCTATATATAGAAGAAAATGTGGTAGTAGGTGTAGTGGAGGTGATAGTGGGTTAGGTGAAGTGGAGTGTGTGGTGAAGTGGAGGTAGGTGAAGTGGAGTGTGTAGTAATACTGATGTATTATTATTGATTGTATTGTTACAAGATTGATTAATTACAATTCCTATACAATCTATATATAGAAGAAAATGTGGTAGTAGGTGTAGTGGAGGTGATAGTGGGTTAGGTGAAGTGGAGTGTGTAGTGGAGTAAGTGAAGGTAAAGATTGATTGATGTATTGATGTATTACAAGATTGATTAATTACAATTCCTATACAATCTATATATAGAAGAAAATGTGGTAGTAGGTGTAGTGGAGGTGATAGTGGGTTAGGTGAAGTGGAGTGTGTTGAAAACTCGGTGAAGGTAAAGATGGGAAAATGTGGAGCAAAAAATGGCGGTGCAAACTGATATTGAGGCTAATCAGTATTATAGGGCACGGGATCTCTACCCCTAAATCCCTGGCATGGTGTCCCTAGTCCCCGATACACTTCCAATCATTCCTCAAGATTTTTGTGTTTTGAGATTTTCAACTTAAATCCCAGCCATGGTGTCCCCTGTCCACTATACACTTCCAGCCACACAATCATGTCTCAATTTCTATAGTTCAAAGGATCCTTGGCCTATATTTGTTTATCCGTTGTTGTGTGCTCTTAAATGGAAATAAGTTTACCTGTATTTTGCATCTTTTTTCTAGAATTGTTCGATTTATGTAACCAGATTTCATTATTAAGAGGGTAGATTGTGCTTTCTAATTTCCTTCTTTGTGCATGTCAGGCTTCCATTCTGGCCTTACATGAAGCTAATGGCCATTTGTTGGTTGGGGATTCCCAATTTTAATGGTGCTTTTTATGTTTATGAGTGCCTGATTCGGTCATGCTTATCTGTGAATCTACAAGGAGTTATCAAACGCTTCGTTAAGCACAAGGATGACCTACTCTCAATGCAGAAAGCTTTCTAGCTGTGGCAGAGAGGTCCGTCAAAGAGAACGGATCAGAAGAGTTGGAGAAACTCATTGATAGATCAAGGCATATGAAAGCTAACTTTGACGAGGAAGAGATAAAGGTAGTAACGAAACAGAGGAAAAAGAAACAGCCACAGCAATACAGGTAAAGTTTCTTATGCTGCTCTTAAGAACTATGATTTTTTATGTTTCTGTAGTTAAATTTCAGTGGGTTGCTACTAGGGGTAATATCCAATGTTGCGTGGACTCTTCTATTCCCATATAGTGTACCTCTATCTATAGGATATGACAAGGGGAGGGCATCCCCATATCCAAACTGTATGCTCGAATTATCTAATTTTAACAATATTTGAAGTAAAAGAAGCTCAAAATTTATAGTAACGAAAATTCCTAGCCTCTTATTAATGGGAGATAGAAACCCCCCCCCCAAAAAAAAAAAAAAAAAATTTCAATTGCATTACATTCCAAAACATCTTATATCAGGATATAATACAATATACAATATATTTTAATGTGTACGGCATATCCATGTACTCATTGAATTTTAGATACACATCTCAAAATCTAAAATTGTGGATTTAGGGAGTTTTGGCATTTGAATACATGCACACATCTGATGGGCATGTTGAGTTTAACAAAGAATTTGTTTGTGCAACAATGGTTGATGTGTTAGAACATGATTTTTATATGAACCATCTTTTGTGTTAGACATTCAAAGAGCCTAATGTTGCCAAGGAGGATGCTAAAGCAGTGGATCCAAAGGAGAAAATTCTGTCAGATTCAACACAATGGGTAAGGTTTCCTGTGTTATGTTCTATCATATTTTATATTTTTATTTAAAAACAACCACTGATGAACCATGTCTTTTCTTTTCCAGTCCAAACTCGAAGAGTCTTATGTTGCTAACGAGAATGCCAAAGCAGGGGAACTAAACGAGAAAAATCCCGCAGCTGCAACAGAACAGGTAATGTCTCCTATCGTATTTTTCATTATATTTCGGTACCTCATGTGCTGCAATTTCCGTTCACTTTTTCGTTCATACGTTCAACCCATTTCTCTTACTGATGCATTTTTGGTGGTTTAGTTGTACTGCTATATTAATGTGCACATCTTTCTAATGTATTCATCATGGTTGTTAGAATCGTGTTATTCACGATTCGATTCATATGATTCAATATGAGTTTCAACCAAAATGGTTCAAATTGTGTTTGAAGACTGAATCATGCAATTCAATTTTCGATTTCCTATGGTTCACTGCGATTCAGTTCTGTTTTTTGGTTTTGTTTGGCATAATGCATGAAACGATGTCTTTTAAGGAAAGCAAGATCAGCAGGAATACTTGGTAATCAGCCTCTGGTAATTACTTATTGCAGGTTAATGTGTAGAGCCAAATCTTATTCAAACTGAAAAGAAAACAGTTGCAACTAGCGAAATCATAGAAAAGACGGTGACACAAGACGTAAGAGAGAACAAAGCCGTGGAGGTACCTGCAGCGGCAATTGCGGTGGAGAGAACAAAGTCACGGAGATACCTGCTTCAGAGAATGTTCAGAGAGAGTGGACAGCATGTCAGTTGACAACCATGTGCGAGAAAAACTTTCAGTCTTCTCTTCAAGGGAGAAAACACAAGGCCCAGTTTGCAGCAGAGGAAAAAGAAATCCAGGTAAAGTTTCTTAATGCTTCTCCTAGAATCCGTGATTTTTATCTGTTTCTGTTGTGAAATTTCAGTGGGTTACCACTCTGTTGGTCTTGCTTAGATTGAGGGGAAAGTCCCACCACTCTATTGGGGTTAGAATTTGGAAAGAGGAAAATTCATCGTTGTTTTTAGGGTAAATTACACTGACCTCCCCCGAGATTGGAAAAAATACAAGAAGCCTCACAGTTTTGGCATAATTACACTAACCTCCCTTTTATTAAGACTAAAGGCACCAAAACTAATGCAGATGGTGTGAAGACACAAAAATAAATAAGCAAAAATACACATTTCAATGTAAAAGATATAGCATCATCATTTTTTTTCACATCACTAACAAATTATTAATAAAAATGGGGCTAAGTGTTATGTGAATCAAAACCTTAAGGAACCCCATGTAATTATGCCAATGTTGTGGGACTTACTGTATTTTCTCCAACCTGGGGAAATCAGTGTAGTTTACCCTTGTTTTTATACATCAAATTTGGCTTAGATAGAGGACAAAGGCAAACTCCTTCAGTGGGTTAAAATTTGGAAACTTACATTTGAAGTGTTTTCTCATCTCATCTTTTCTTAAGTGGAAATCCATGTGGGAGTGAATTTAATCCTTGTCGGCAGCACTATATAATACACTAATGTGCTTGAACATGAAGTTTTTTTTTTTTGATCTTTTTAATGTCTTACCCCATTTGAAATTGGTTATAAACAATGTTTCATGAACTCTTCACTCTTCACTTTTCAATTCCCCAAGTGTACCTATATGGGATATGAGTTCGAGCTCAATGTTCAAATTATCTATGAACCATCTTTTTTGTTAGACATTCAAAGAGCCTAATGTTGCCAAGGAGGATGCTGAAGCAGTGGAACCAAAGGAGAAAATTCAGTCAGATTTAACACAATGGGTAAGATTTCCTATGTTATTTTCTATCATATTTATATTTTATTTGAAGATAACCACTGATGAACCATCTTATTTCCTATTCTAGTCCAAATTCAAAGAGCCTAATGTTGCCAACAAGAATACCAAAGCAGGGAAACTGAACGAGAAAATTCCTGCAGCTGCAACGAACAGGTAACGTCTCCTATCATATTTTTCATTATATTTTGGTTCCTCAAGTGCTGCAATTTTCCATTCAATTTTTCATTCATATGTTCAACCCATTTACAGTTGCTTTTTGCTGGTTTAGTTTGTACTATTAACTTCCACTACCTTTCTAAGGTTTCCTATGTTGTATTCATCATGGTTGTTAGAATCGTGTGATTCATGATTCGATACGAGTTTCAACCAAAATGATTTGAATTGTGCTGTTGAAGAGTGAATCATATGATTCAATTTTCAATTTGCTATTGTTCACTGCGATTCAGTTCTGTTTTTTGGTTTTATTTGCATAATGCATGAAACAATGTTGTTGTAAGGAAAGCAAGATCAGC